AAAAAAAAATACAACAATTAGGAAAAGTAGAAATAAGGGGGGACAATAGCACCGGTATTGTTACCCATATAACACAAACCGGGCTAAACCTTACATTACTAACCCTATTGAGGCATAAAATAGCCTCACTAGCAAGCATGTAAAAAGAAAGAACTAGCTACAATCAAATATTCAGTGATCACCACAGAGTTTATAACATACTCTGTGATGATATTATAAATCAAAATACTAACATAATGGTAGAATAAAATGATGAAGGAATTAAAATGTTGTCCCTTCTTGTCCAAACTTGTAATTTCTTCAATTTGTAATTCTTTTTCATCACACTCCCAATTCTTCAAGAAGTATTCAAAATTCATGATTTCTTTTTAGAACGATTGGACCTTGTTGATGTAGTTGGGGCGACCTGCTTTTGTTTGGCATTTCTCATTGGAGGTCGCCTAACATTTAAAAAATCATTAACCTTGTCGTCCCAACTATTTTTCCTTGTATGAGTCTTTTTACCTTTGCCGTTATGCCTTGGTGATAGATCCCCTTTTCTTGATGCCTGTGCACGACATTCTTGTAACATTGCTTCTTCTTCTCCTTGTTCAAAAAATTCACTCCCCAAATTAACAGGTTGTGGAGAACTTTGAACGATATCGAGTGTCACTAAGGCATCTCCTCCTTGTGTCGTTGTCACGATTGTCTTACTTTGTTGTTGTCCTATGTTTTGCATTTTTTTCTTGCTCTTACTTACAGGACCAGTGCTAAGCGTAGCAGGATTTAAGGATTTTAGAGGAGTAGAGCTTACCATTGCATCCAAAAGTTTCCTCTCCTCCAATGAAATGAGTGGCTCAGTTGTTACAATTTGATTCTGCCCAGATTTTGGCACTACTGTTTCCTCCAAAAGTTTCCTCTCTTAAGTTGGACTCATGGTACTGAAGATTATTTTCACTCTCGGTAACATTAGCAACATTCTCATGAGCTTTCTCGAGTACATCAAGCACCAATTCTGTACTTCATAGATGGGGAGAATCCCTTGGATTTTCATCTTCAAGAACCTTAATAGCAACGCGGAAGACCTTGCAGCCTTTCCATTTGTTAGGTTCATGTCCATAGAAAACTCCCGGAAAAATTTGAGCTAACCTCTTTTGGTCTTGAGTGTCTATAGCTTTCCCTTATGGCTTTACTTAGTCGGAAAACTAAATGCCCCTTGGTAAGATCTTTAGCATAGTCCCCTAGCTAACGAAAGACTCAATATGACAGACACGTTGTTGACGTATAGGCCTAACAAGGCAGTATCGAAAATCTGCTACCCTTAGTTCTTGCAATGCTCCTACAGATTATCTGTGGCACATTTTACATGGCATATTAGGTGACAACTTATTTTTCCCAAACCGTTTGTCATCTCCATGTTACAAACTTATAAGGCTTCACTAATCAGGGGAAAAAAAATTATAAGGTTTCAACTTTAGATAGGACTAGGAGGCCCTTCATAGATCTTCGTTTACAGAACTTGATCTTGCTTCTAGAAATTGTGTCATATGGACTGGGTTTTTTGGTGGCACAAAGATAAAGGTGTTTTCAGACATACATGAATGAGCACTTCCTTTCCGCCTTTTGACAAGTACCGTTTCTGCCAGCCTGCTAATCTTTTTTCAACCCTTTCGATCACTGGATTCCAAATCGTGGTATCCTTATGCGAAGCGCCCAATGGGAGACCCAGGTAAATAGTGGGGAGGGAGCCCACCTTACATCTGAGAACATAAGACAAAGCATCAATATTAGCAACCTCACCCACCGGGAAAATCTCACACTTGCCGAGGTTGATTTTGAGACCTGATACTATCTGAAACCACTGTAGGACCTGCTTCAGGTAGGTCAACTGATCCATATCGGCGTCATAGAAAACCAGGGTGTCATCCGCAAAAAGCAAATGAGAGACTCTTCGGGCACTAGGCACCCCGATCGGAGCTGAGAATCCTCTCAAAAAGCCTCCGCCCGCCACACGATCCATCATTTTACTCAAAGCATCCATCACTAGAATGAATAGCATGGGGATAGGGGGTCTCCTTGCCTGAGACCCCTGGAGCTGCCAAAGAAACCACACACTGAGGAAATGTAGAACTTGATCCATCCCCTCCATCTTAGCCCAAACCCCATCCACATCATAATGAAATCCAAGAACTCCCAATTGACATGGTCGAAAGCCTTCTCAAGGTCCAACTTGCATAGTAAGCCGGGATCTCTATTTTTCCTTCTGGAGTCTACAAGTTCATTTGCCACCAAAACGGCATCCATGATCTGCCTACCTTCCACAAACGCATTCTGGGAGGACGAAATAGACACGTCAAGAATCTTCTTGAGTCTAGTGGAAAGCACTTTAGAAATAATCATGTAAATGCTCCCCACGAGACTAATAGGCCTGAAGTCATTGATACAAGATGCACATTTTTTCTTAGGCACAATAGTAATAAAAGAAGCATTGATACTTCTCTCGAAAATACCATTCACATGGAAGTATTCAATGGCTTCCATCAACTCCCCCTTGATGGTGTCCCAACAGAGCTGGAAGAAGGCCAAGGAGAAACCATCGGGGCCGGGGGCCTTATCGCCAGCACAACTTGAAACAACCTCGTGCACCTCCTCCTCCTCGAAAGCCCTTTCTAGCTACTCACTGTCTCCCTCCCCTATGTGGTTGAACTCTATTCCCCTAAAGTTGGCCTCCAACTAACTTCCTTTTTGTATAAGTTCTCATAAAACCCCACTATCGCCCCTTTTACCTCCTCCTCTCCCTCAATCCTCACCCTATCCACAACTAAGGACTCTATGAAGCTTCTCCTTCGATTTGCAACTGCCACACCCTGTGGAAAAATTTGGTATTCGAATCTCCTTCCTTTAACCATAGCACCCTCGATTTTTGCCGCCAACTAGTCTCCTCAGCTATTGCTAACTCGACTATTTCCCTCTTAACCTCCCACAATCTCTCTTTCTCAGATTCATCTAACTCCCTCGCTCCTTCCCCTCTCTCTAGATCCCCCAATTCATGCATAAGCTCCCCCATTTTAACCACTACCCTCCCAAAAAGCTCTTCGAAAGACGGAATGAAGGTCTCCCTGATACCCCATTGCTTGTCCACCATTCTTTCACCTTGTCACCAAATCATGGCACGTTCAACCACATGTTCTCGAATCGGAAGGGAGCATGCACCCCCCTACCTTTGCATCCATCTAGCAAGATAGGCAAATGATCCGAAGTCAGCCTAGGTAAAGGAATCTGCAACACATTCGGCACCAGCTCATCCCAGAAGGGCAATATCAGAAATCTATCAAGTCTAGACCTTGAGTTGGTATCCTCCGCCCTGGCTCAAGTAAACCTTTCCCCTGACAAAGGAAGATCAATGAGAAAGTGATCATTGAAGAAGTCGGAAAACTCCTCCATGGCCCTCGAAATCATACTACACCCTAATCTCTCCTCCGGGAATCTAATAGTGTTAAAGTCTCCCCGCAGAACCCATGGAATGTCCCATTCCCCCATCATATTGGTCAGTTCCTCCCAGAAAAACACCTTGGACCCTTCTCCTATCGGTCCGTACACTCCCCCAAATCCCCACTCCACCCCACTCACTCTATCTTTGACAAGAGTTGCTAAAGAAAAAACTCCCTTCTTATTCTCATTTACCTCAAAGCTTCTATCATCCCACATTAGAAGAATGCCCCCAGCACTTTCCGCTGCTGGAATCCAGTCATATTTTACCCAACTACCTCCCCAGACACTCCTCACAATCACATCCGACAAAACTTTCAATTTTATCTCCTGAAAGCAAACTAGGTTAGCACCCCACTCTCTAACTCCCACTTTGATGATGGCCCTTTTGTTTGGGTCATTCATCCCCTCACATTCCATGAAAGGATCTTAACTTCCATAAAAAACAATATCCCCCTTCTCCCTACCCCCTCTAACCGAGCTCCCTTCCTCCCTGTCACACACCGGGCCCCTTCTCTGGTACACCACTACATCCCCTAAATTATTTTGCTTAACACCTTGACTCATCTCCCTCCCTGCAACATCATAACAAGATTGTTGCTCAATCTCCCTCAACAGTTCTAACACCCTATCTTCCTTCCATTGAAAAGAAACACCTAGAAACTTCCCAAAGTTTAATAGTTTATCCTCCATCCAGAAAGACATATCCCCTCCTCCAATCCGTGACGAGATTGGACAGGGGTCTTCTATATGCACCCTTTCCTTGCTCCTACCGGAGGAATACAAGACCATAGCATTGCTAGCAATAGAAACTTTAGGTGCCAAAAGGATCTCGCCATTTCCTTGAAGGGTATCAATCTCTGAAAGTAGCACCCCGCTGCTACAGGAATGACCAGAAACACCAGTAGGGTAGCAGGAAGGAGGAGAGCATGGAGCCCTTGGCGGCATCTTAACTGGAAATACTGGTCCGGCACTAACATCAGATGGGGCATGCTTAACGATTTTCCCAGAAGAAGAAGAAGCTTGAAGTGTAGCCTCAACACAACTAAGCCCAGGAGCAGATGAGGGGGCGATGGAGCTGGGTCCATCAGAGGCGGGAGGCCGTGAAATAATAGCACC